GGGTTACAATCCCTGAGTGCGGCCGAAGGCCGCCTACGTAGAAAGGTGTTCTCTGCAAAAGGTGTTCAGCTCCTTTTCTTCGCAAAACAGAAAGGAGAATTCTACTGCCTGAGGGTTATAATCCCTAAGTGCGGCCGAAGGCCGCCTTCGCAGAAATGTGTTCTCTACAAACGGTGTTCAGCTCCTTTTCTTCGCAAAACAGAAATTAGAATTATACTAAGTGAAAATTCCGAATTAAAAATCCGCTTTTATTATTCAAAATTCCAGTCTGGTAGCACCAAGTTGTATGTTAATTTGCTATCTTATTCATCGTTTATACGAAAACTTTAACAATAAATTATGTATATAAGAACTATAGGGTTGCTAGAAAAAAGGGGGAGTCTTTTTGAAATCAGGGATTCCTATTCAACCCCCCTCAACCCCCCTTTTCTAGAATTTGCCGTCCACTACTAAATTGTCCCAATTAACATTCTCTGCTTCTAAGTTCTCTGCTTTTGGGCGACACCTGTCGTCTCTTCAAGTAATTTTTAGACTCCTTAATACCAACGGCGACATCTCTCTCTGAATTCTTTACAAATGTACAGATTTGGTTCCTTAAGGGGGGACACCTTGGGTTGAAGTTTTGAAATAAAACGATTATTGAATTTCCAGGAATGGTTTGGCGTCATCTGTGATTAAATAGGGTATTCTTTAATTACTCTTTAATAAGTAGCTGTTCGCACTTCTTTGCCCACCTGGTCAGCTGTTGGAAATTTGTACTAAAGAAAAAATTGGTGTTATGGCAGCAGCTCATAAATTTATTTCGCAATTTTGCAGGAGTACGCATAGTTTCCAGCGATTACAGGTAGGGTATTCACGGTATTCATATATTCACTGTATGTTTATTTAAGTTTCCGTTTTTTATTTAAGCGCTTACCTACCGCTNATTTCCAGCGATTACAGGTAGGGTATTATATATTCATTGTATGTTTATTTAAGTTTCCGTTTTTTATTTAAGCGCTTACCTACCGCTACAGCTGTACGATGCTCCAGTTTCTTATCGTCTCGAAAGGTAGCTCCTCGCGAGGAATACCCTGAAATAGAGATTATACATAATGCACCTGAATGGAAATATGTCGAACGCTTGCTTCCACAAAAGACAGTGCCAAAGCCTATTCAAAAAGCTGTGTACCCCTCCGGTTGGAAACCCCAAATCGCTTCTGCAAACCCGGACCTTAAATACTTTGTAGCACGCACGAAAAATCACATGGTACCAGTGTATTTACAGACAAGCTTCCGTGGTCAGCGCCGTATCACTGTTATCCGACGCATTCAGGGTGATATATGGGAGTTGGAACGTGAGTTACGTGTTGTTGTGGAGAAAGCGCGGGATGGAAAACTCTGCGCCAGTCGAGTAAATGAGATGAGTGGACAAATACACTTTCATGGCGATTATGTTGACGTCGTGAGGGAATATCTGAAGGAAAAAGGTTTCTAAAATAGCTTCATTCTCTTATAAGAGTTTGCAAATTAAATAAAAAGCAATGTTTCAATAACGTATATTACATACATGTGTATTTTTGTTTTTAATTTGATCTTCACACCTTATACGTATGTTAAGCTAGTACTTAAGAATAATTTTGCTTATGTGTATACTGAGCATTAGTTCAGTTAAAACTAAAAGCAAAGTGCTGCAAAAAGATTGGTTTGCAGTTATTATTACTTATTATGCCCTGAGGAACTTCAACATATAGAATTGCTTTTTGGATGAATTATTAAACTTCAATACGAATATATTGCAAAAATATTAGAAACTAGATTAAATCTATTAAATACATACATCTTCAGTGCATCTTAAAAATTATCATATGGCCACAGAAGCGACTGCTGTCGCCGCAGANGGGAGAGATTAAATCTATTAAATACATCTTCAGTACATCTTAAAAATTATCATATGGCCACAGAAGCGACTGCTGTCGCCGCAGACCGCTTAAGAGCTTTTCGTATCGTGGTCCAATCTTCCATAATGTCTTCATCACGCAGCATGTATACAATGTAGGGACCGGTGACCGTGACTGCCTTTTTTCTTCCCGGGCCACGTACTTTACTTGCACGCCTGTCTACAGCCCAATCAGACCAAGATATATCAACATTATTTCGGTCTTCTTCCAGACGTCTTATTTTCTCAATAATTTCTTCCTCCATTTGATCGAGCAATAGTTGTTTTTCACTCTAAAATATAAAAAAAAACTATAATTAAAGTGATGTCTCGTTATTAACAAATATCTTAAGAAGGTAATTCGCCTTTAAGTGTTAAGTCTTAAACAAATGGAAAACGCATCCTTTAAATTTAACAGGTAATATTTAAGCAAAAAACAAAACCGACTTCAATTCTCATATATATATATATATTTCATGATCCAATGATCGGATCTAAACAAGATTAGTATGGGACCACCTCTGAGACACTACCTTTCTGATGAAAAATTATCGAAATCGGTTGACGTGGTCCAAAGTTATGCGGTAACATACAAAAAACAAACAAAAAAAAATATTCCGACGAACTGATAACCTTTTTTCGAAGTCGGTTAAAAGTGGCGGGACCCGAAAGTTTTTTTTGAATCTTTTTACAGTGCAGCGAGATTTTCGAGGCACGCCTACAGAGGACGCGGAAACACAGTGAGGAAAGCACCACACACTAGCTAAACTAAGATCAGACTGATACATACGACCCGACAGCTACCAATTGCGCCTAAATACACTGGTGCAAGGACATGCCTAGCTTGCGAGCAAGGCTTTCACTACCCGAACCTTTGCAAGTACAAATCGACCTTCCGCGTTACATTGTCCCCACGACAGTCTGGTTTACGTAACCGGAATGACCTAGATCTATATCTGGTCAAGGGCTGTAACTCCTACGGGATAACCAAAAATTCTTTGGCGAGTTTTTAAGCTGTTACAAAAACAATCTGCATTTTACACAACCATGATTTTCATATTATAGCAGGTTAAACTCCTACCTTAAACCTTAAACTCCAACCCTACCGTCACAACGAACTTATACTCTTTCTCACGAAAGTCGGACTATCTGACCGGAAGGACCCAGATTTATAATCAGCCAAGGACCGCCAATCCAGCAGATTCTCCATGAACTTTATCCTGGTTCTTGTTGTGGTTGTTGTTGTAGCGGCTACAACAACGCCGCCCAGATCGGTTGATATCTCAGTCGTCGTCAAGTTCCACTAACGGCAGCCCTAGGAAGCGTGCAGCCTCTATCGGGTCGGTCCACAAGGATAAAGCTGTTAGGGTTGTCGGGTTTTCCGGGCATGCGAAGAGATGTTTCGAGTCATGTGGGGTCTCTCCGCATGCTGGACACTCATTTGGCACATCCTCGTTCAATCTACTTAGGTAGGAGTTTAACCTGCAGCAGTAGCCAGAGCGAAGTTGGGCTATTGTTGTTCGTGTCTCCCGAGGCAGATGAAGCTCCGTCTCGTCTATGTTCGGTGGTAGTGTGCCGAGAACGACATTCACAGGTCTAGAGTCTACATAACTCGAGACTGACTCCCTGTGAATGCCGTTCAGGGCCTGTCGGTAGGCTGACGGGTCCAGAGGTTGCTTGTTGAACCTCTGGACTTCGTCCGTCAGTTCATATCAAATTAATTGACAGTAAACTCTGTTTTGTTACTTCCATTATGACCCGGTCCTTTGGCTTTGCAAGCTTTGGCTTGACCAAATCCATTGAAACAAGTAAAGCCAGTGCTGTCCTCGGCTATGTCGAAGGCTTCATTTCTTTCATGAACATCAGAAGATCTTACTTCAACCGACTACTGCGCTCTTAAGCGGTTGTTTGGGAGCTAAACAAAAATTTTACCTTCACTGCATACATAGATACAGGAATTATATAAATAAGAACTAATACTTTTCTGAACAATAAGTCTAACCGGTTGTTCAATATCTTGTTATCATTTCCCCCCAGTTAAACACCATTATCGACGGTAAAATTCCATATCTGAACAATCAGTTGTATGGAGGCTATAGATTTGAGTTGTCATTTCACACACTAAGCTGTTGAGAATGATTCAAAACGGATCGGAATTTCATGCTAGTACCTATATAAAATGAGAAATAATAGCAAAAATCTCATATCTGAACAATTAGTTGTAAGGGAGCTATATGTTAATAGTGGTCCGATTTTACTGATTCCTACAAATATTAATATGTATGCACATTAATATGTATAAACATTGGAACAAATTTATAATACCATTTCATGTTCATTAAAAGGTAAAAAAATAGGTGATCTAGATAGGTTAAACAGGCACTAATCCACAAAAAATCCATGTATGCTGTGTCTACTGCAACCCTAACAACCGAAGCTTTGTGGTCGCCGCCTATATATGCAGTGTAGTTCTTAGACCTAGTGTTCTCAGAGGCGGTTGATGCATATGACAACAACCAACAGTACATATCGAAATACTTGCCTCAAAATGCTGCAACGCTGCTTGTTCCTCTGATTGGTACTTATGTTCGATATTTTCCAAACGAAATTTTCGCAGCTTGTCTGCAACTTCAACGCGATTGCGAAAGGCTTTGTCCAATTCTCTCAATGGTATTAAGTACTCTTCTGAACGTCCACTACGAACATCCGCAATTTGTTGTTCGTTTTGTTTGTTGCGTTCTTGATAATACAGCTCCCGCAGTTGATCAAATTGTAATTCAAGGCTAGCTGCAAAACCATAAGAGCTTGTTGCACTTCCTTCATTAGCCTGACTATCCGATTGGACTTACCTAAATCTTCAACATGTTCGGAACGAATTCTTTCCATTTCAATGGCATCCATTTCCGAGGAGTCATCCGAATCCATTTCATTGGCCTCTTCATCAGTGGACTCTCGTCCCTGACTAGAATTTGAATGTTCAGACTCGGCTCCAGAAACATCCTCGCCATCGGTTGCGTCTCCCTCGTTTTTAACAGGCATTCTATTTGCACTGAAAACTTCACTTCACGTAAAAAGTTGAGGAACTCTAGGCTATAAACAGTTATTTTACCAAGTTATAGGCCATATATCGCATTTAATTCATTTAATACTTCCTCCGTACAAACTTTTATATCTGGGCAACTTCTGGGACCACTTTGACAGCTGTGTTGTTGTCACATAAAAGTCATTGTGTCAAAATATGACAGTGTTGGTGTTGCCAGATATCTCTCCTTTGCGTCCATTTTTATATATTGCCATTCGATTTATATTCTGAATAATAATTTTTTAACTTAATGGGAAATGTTTAATAGCGCTGACATCGTTTTTGGGGTGGGGGCCGGAGGGGGAGGGGCAGCGATACTTTAACTTCGTACTATATCGATACTTTCCAAGAATGATAGAATAGTTGCGGGTACCCGCTGATTCGTGTGGAACAAACCTAATGTCAAAATTTCGCTGACATTTTTCTGGAATGTACTACCGGAAATTATTGGAATGGACTACCGGAAGTCTTCAATAATCGCGTATAGATGACGCTGTAAATATTTAGAGCTAAGAACTAAAGACAAAAAATTATATGGATTATTTTTTCTCAAATGGCATGATTCATGCTCAAATGGCACCCAATTTTTCAAATAAGCATGATGCATGATACAAATATTTATAAAAAATCGAAGTGTGCACAGTTTCTCTCATTTTAGAAAATTCGGCAAAAATCGGATGAGATCTTTACGAATTCTTTAAAATTGCTCTACGGTTTAGAATACTATGAAAAAATGGTTTGCAGGGTATTCAAATTTCCTTTTATTTCCCAGCAAACATTTGAGTATAAATTCATTCAATGACAAATGTTTATGATAAACTATTATAATAACAAAAGAAAAACATAAAAAAAATACATTACAAAATAAATAGGCTGTGTTTCTTTATACAATTCAGATAATCTCATTTCACAGCCAGAATAAACAGAATGCGTTTGAAATATACGTTAACATATCATAAGGAACGTTCTAAAGAATAAGTAAACAAAAAAGTTTATTCCAAACGTTCAGAATGAATAAAGAAATTCAGCCATAGTCATTCCAGAATCTCCCAGCAAACATTTGGAGTAATAAATGAGTCTTTAAGGAGTCCTATTTCGGAGCCATTACGCTCATAATGCGCTCATTTAAGAGACCGATATGACGGTGTTTCCCTTCCACCGAAAGTCGATTTATATGAGCTTAAATTCATACATCAAATGAGCCTCAATATGTGTCATATTGGACTCTTATTTACCTCATATACGGCTCATTTTGAACTCGTTTGGATTCTTTTAAAACAATTTTTGGGCTCATATATAAATCATTTCATACTCTTTTTGAGGCTTTTATCGGCCTCATAAATTACTAAATAATAAACCAGTGATAAACTTGAATAATGCAACACCTGTAACGGCGAGATTTTATTTACACATATGTATAAGTATTTATGTAGATGTACATACATATGTTTATTACCTGCCAACAGGCATGTCGCGCAATGCCAAAGCATCTGCAAAAAAAATAGATGAGTGCTGAATAGCTCGAGCACAATCAGCAGTAGATATGGTTTCTTTCGCTTGCAGTATTATTTGTTCCATATACTGCAGTCGCCTTTCTACCACACCAGGTCCGTCCGCGGATGGAACGCCCATATTCGATTTTACATAATTCTTTACCTTAGCCCAAACATTTTCTATGGGGTTCAGCATGGGCGAGTATGGCCCCAGACGCAAAAGGGTGGGTGACCCATTACTACCCACCACTTGTTCAAGTCCAGCATGGCATGGTGCATTGTCGCAGACTAACACTAAATCGCTAAGTACGTTGCCCATGCTGGTCCATTTTTCAAAAAGTCCGCGGACCCACTCAGCGGCGCTCTCTTTTTTAAATGACCCGCGCCGCGTTTCCATGCTCAGTACACCGGATGTACTGATGGCTCCAATTAGGTGTACGTTGGGTCCCCTTGATGGTGGCAGCGTTAAAACCGCTCGTGTGCCAGACCGGGCGCGACCTTTTGTCCGACGGCAAAACAAATAAAAATTGGTTTCGTCCAAATATACAATTTGTTTGCCTTGCTGTATATATACGCTCAACGCTGTCACGAATTCTGCGCGTTTGTTTTTATTTACGGCGGAATTCATGTTGGCAGGCATATTATGAACGTTTTTAATGGTATACAGCCTACCATCTAAATAATTAGCCACGGAAGACTTGGAAATGTCTTTTTGCGACTCCGCTTGCACTTTTACGGCTATATTCTTCAGCGTTATAGTAGGATCCTCTTCCACCCAACGTATTAACGTGTCGACCTCGTCTTCAGACAACCTTTTTTCATTCCCTCCTCCTCTTCGTTTGCTTTCTACTCTGCCTGATCGCACCCAAGTGTATGCCGTTTTGTAGTTGATTCCGAAGGACGATGCTAAGCTGCTCCAATCTTCCCCTTTGTTGGCAGCCTCAACAATGCGTGCGCGGTCGACTTCATTGTATACCGAATACTTTTTGCGTTCTACAATCTCGTTTTCTGTACCGGAGAAGATTAACATATACACATTATTCTAAAAATTTTTACATATAGAAACATATTTACGATAAGATAAAATTATGATTATTTAAAGACCATTTATATATACATATGTGTATTTGTACCATTCACATCTCCTCGGCATATACATAGGACACTTATTGGACTCAATAATAGGACCGCTACTCTTTTGGTGCAATAAGTGACCACATGGCAGTAGGCGAACCACCATTTGCCTGCGCATATCGGCCCTGTAAATTGCGCAATTGTCCTTTAGCTCCATTTTTTAATTATATTATATATACTAATACTTAATTAGGCACAATTTTTGTACATATGTACGTATTTAGCTCTTTGCTGACTCGGAATACTTATGTATGTACATATGTATGTATTTTTTAGATGTTTAACGCCATGCCCAATTAAGTTTTTTTTTAGTTTTTCTGAAATACAGTTGAGCTTTTCTGAAATACATTTGCGTTTTTCTGAAATACATTTGTGCTTTTCTGAATTTCATTTGGTCTTTTCTGAAATACATTTGAAATTTTCTGAAATACATTTGCGTTTTTCTGAAATACATTTGAGGTTTTCTGAAATACATTTGGCCTTTTCTGAAATACATTTGTGTTTTTCTGAAATACTGTTGGAAAAGGTGTAGTCCCAACACATAAAACTCTTCTGGATACCAGGTGCTGGATTCTGTAACTGTGAAGTGTGAGAATGAGTTTTGGCTGTCAAAATTGTGTACACTTCCTCATTTTGCGACTCAGCAAGAGTGAGAATGAGTTTTAACGGTCAAAATTGTGTACACTTCTCTTCCGAAAAACTCATTGAATTTTATTCATGATGAAAATCGTTCAGATTTGAAACAAATTATTTGAAAATAAAAAAATGTTGAAAAAATTTTTTTATAATTTTCTTATATTTGCAGTTTTTATATTGTATGCATAAACATAAGGGAGGTTCGATGGGAAAGTGGACCTCATAATTAATAAATAATTTTCTTTATGAAACTAACAAACATGTGGATAAGACATTTGTAANCAAATTTTTTTATAATTTTCTTATATTTGCAGTTTTTATATTGTATGCATAAACATAAGGGAGGTTCGATGGGAAAGTGGACCTCAGTGCAAAAATAATTTTCTTTATGAAACTAACAAACATGTGGATAAGACATTTGTAAAAATCTTGAATCAACCAAAAAATAACAAATTTAAGCTTTAAATGCATTTGTATTATCTTTTTTTACGTTTCGAAATCAAGTTTTAAGTAAATTTTTTGATTGAGTCGAAAGTAGGTTGTGTTGAATGCACTGTCAAATAATTTGCGATTCATAATTAAAGTGTTTGGTAAGAAAAATATATGGTAGAACTCATCTGCTTTTAATAAAATTGTGTTATATATTAAATTGTGTGACTGCATTATCTATATTATGAGTTAATATTAAGCAGTATTGGTCTGGTCCCACACGTGACAAAAAAAGCTAAAAGTTATATTTAATTACAGAAGTTGAGGTTGTGTTTCGTGTTTGTTACATAATGTTAGAAATTTATTGCAAATATTTACCACAATTGCATTGTCGTTTCCACTAGTTAGATAAGAATAATTCAACAGAGAAGCATGTCCCGCCCGTGACAGCTATGTGCGGGACAGTTGTCAGAGGTAGGTTTACAGGGCTGATAAGCTTTATTTGTTTGTTGTGGTGAGGCAGGGGACTAGGGGGGATGCTTGAACTCGTTGACCTTGTGGTCAGCTTATAAAGTTAAGTTACATTTTGACCAGTTTTGATTTTTTGTTTTGTTAATCTAATATTTATAGTGTTTTTTATAAAAGTCTAGCACATTACCTAACCAGAATCACATAAATCCACGTTTCAAACTTCTTTAACAATTACGCCCAAAAAGTTTAAACTTTTTGTTCAGACTTTTTAGGTATGTAGTTTTGTAATCCATTAAATTTAAATGGTAAAAGTGAAAATTTCAAGAAGCTAGGATATCGCGTTCATTTTTAATAATTTTTTTGGCAGACGGTGCTAAGCATTTTCTTTTATATAAAAGGCACCATCCTAAGAAAAAACGTGAATGAATTTAACCCCACTTGGCTTCTTATATTTTTTAATAGCTAATCTTTATATATGGACCACACTAAAAGCTCCTTTTCATATAAAAATTCGTACGTGTCCTACGCGTGACAAACATGGTCCCACCCGTAACAGAGGAATTTCGGATTTTTGGTATAATAAAGCCATGATTTTTTTTGTAGTTTTTGCTTTGTTTGTGTTCCTGGTTCTGTGTTTTATTATAAGACAGGGGTGGGCAAGGCCGAGGACGAAGAGAGCCACATGTAAATTCTAAATGCTACAAACAGCCACAAGAAAAACAAAAAAATAAAAAGTTATTTTTAAATAAAATTATTATTAGAAATGAAAAACATTAATTTTATTATTATTCTAATGTAAGTAAGATAGATATTAAAGAAAATTCAAACGATTCTTTGGCCAAATTTTCAAAATCTGGTTTTACGTAAGTTAAAGCCGTTCGTAACAGTTCTGTTAAATGTTGGTTAGTCTATAGCAGTGATTCCCAAAGTGGTCCAGGTGGACCCCAGAGGTCCACGGAGACGTGAAAAAAATTTGGGGGTCCATGAGTTGTAAATGGGGGTCCACGAAAATTCATCTGGTTTAGATGTAAAGAACCAAAATGGTTGCTTGATAGCCTATTTATTTAACTTTAATTTTTTTGAGTGGTGTATAGTGCTCTTGACGCACTGCTGCACTTACCGTCACTTTGTGTTTTCATACGTGGGGAAGCCTTAAAGGCCACTTGCAGACTAAAAAGAACTGGATGCTGGTATGACAATGAGTGGGGCGCAGCGAAAATTGCTGGCGGCAGAGATTTACGCACTTGTGTCTTTTCCTTGNGCGTGACAAACATGGTCCCACCCGTAACAGAGGAATTTCGGATTTTTGGTATAATAAAGCCATGATTTTTTTTGTAGTTTTTGCTTTGTTTGTGTTCCTGGTTCTGTGTTTTATTATAAGACAGGGGTGGGCAAGGCCGAGGACGAAGAGAGCCACATGTAAATTCTAAATGCTACAAACAGCCACAAGAAAAACAAAAAAATAAAAAGTTATTTTTAAATAAAATTATTATTAGAAATGAAAAACATTAATTTTATTATTATTCTAATGTAAGTAAGATAGATATTAAAGAAAATTCAAACGATTCTTTGGCCAAATTTTCAAAATCTGGTTTTACGTAAGTTAAAGCCGTTCGTAACAGTTCTGTTAAATGTTGGTTAGTCTATAGCAGTGATTCCCAAAGTGGTCCAGGTGGACCCCAGAGGTCCACGGAGACGTGAAAAAAATTTGGGGGTCCATGAGTTGTAAATGGGGGTCCACGAAAATTCATCTGGTTTAGATGTAAAGAACCAAAATGCTTGCTTGATAGCCTATTTATTTAACTTTAATTTTTTTGAGTGGTGTATAGTGCTCTTGACGCACTGCTCCACTTACCGTCACTTTGTGTTTTCATACGTGGGGAAGCCTTAAAGGCCCCTTGCAGACTAAAAAGAACTGGATGCTGGTATGACAATGAGTGGGGCGCAGCGAAAATTGCTGGCGGCAGAGATTTACGCACTTGTGTCTTTTCCTTGCTAGAGGATAGTACGCCACCATTACCTTTGTTGAAGAGATTTTATAATGTTGAACTGAATGCTGGTTTGATTCCATCGCTGAGACCGGACTCACACATTGTCTAATCCTCACTGATGGCTCCGAAACTGACTCTGGGTCATGATCTGTGGTCTTTTGCGAGGTTAATGAAGATAAGCTTCACTTTTCTGTAGGGGAATATGCTTCGGTCTTCCAGGCTGAGGTAATTGCAATACTCAAAGCCATGGACTACGTGGTGGAACATAGGTGGAGGGGAAGGAGTTTACGTGACTGCAGTGACAACCAAGCTGCCCTTAAGGCATTGACCAGCCCTCTATTTAAGTACTTCCAAACTAGTTCGGCAATGGAAGTCAGAAACTGGGTGAATACTTCGCTCAGAAATGACTGAGAGGCATCGAGGGGATGCAGGTGGGCAAAACTCATGTTGCCTTCAATCTCACAAGGTCTATATATGCATTTCAAGTTGAGAAAAAACGTTCATTACTAATTTATATGGTATCGGCTAAAACACTTGAACTTATCGCAATAGAGAACTATTATTTTATCAGTTTTAACCTTATGGTCTGATTATGGCAACTTAACGTAACTTACGGCTCTCTCTTAAAAATTCTGTTAAATTGGTCTTGCTTATAATTGAACAGCCGAAACTTAACGTAACTTAATACCACATCGAAATCTGTTTGATTTTGATTCTTTAAGTTCTACGCTCCGTTAAATTAAGTTAAGTTGCCATAATCAGACTTTTAGTCGATCCAAGGTTCAAGAAAAATACTTTGACGGATGAAGAAGCCTTTCAGGGGGTTGATTCTGTAACCAGTTAGCGACAAGTCTCGGATCGATATCGCACTTGTTGACGTAAAAATATTTCATATCATACGTCAACAAAACCGATACCGATTCGAAAATTGTCGCTACCTGGTTACAGAATCTGCCCCAGGCCTACAAAAATGATATCGTCCGATTCAGCTGGAACCAAAATGCTTAAAACAAGTAAGAGTTTCTCTGTATTATGGCCTCGAACCGACATATATGTATATACATCTTTCATTTGAATCAGTATTAAAAGCTCTATTGGCTCCTACATTCGGGTTTTGATAGGCGTTTTTTCCATATTTTCGGCGTTTGTGCGCTTTNTTAAGTTCTACGCTCCGTTAAATTAAGTTAAGTTGCCATAATAAGGCTTTTAGTCGATCCAAGGTTCAAGAAAAATACTTTGACGGATGAAGAAGCCTTTCAGGGGGGAGATTCTGTAACCAGTTAGCGACAAGTCTCGGATCGATATCGCACTTGTTGACGTAAAAATATTTCATATCATACGTCAACAAAACCGATACCGATTCGAAAATTGTCGCTACCTGGTTACAGAATCTGCCCCAGGCCTACAAAAATGATATCGTCCGATTCAGCTGGAACCAAAATGCTTAAAACAAGTAAGAGTTTCTCTGTATTATGGCCTCGAACCGACATATATGTATATACATCTTTCATTTGAATCAGTATTAAAAGCTCTATTGGCTCCTACATTCGGGTTTTGATAGGCGTTTTTTCCATATTTTCGGCGTTTGTGCGCTTTTATTCGAAACCTAAATGTTTCGGTACCGAGTATCGAGAGTATTGGATACTTAAAAGTATTGACTCAGCACATCACTACTGCTGTCATCTCGACTGTGACGTCAGCAAAACAGCTGATTCTGTCAAATTCACTGAGAGCCGATTAGCGGTGACATCAAGTTCGCACAGAAAAGTGAAATGAATTCGCAGAGTTTAAGTAAAATATATCTGCTCCAAAAAGCAGGTTATTTTTTTTGTCCCACCCGTGACAAAAGAAATAAATCAGATTTTTTCCATATAAAATATATTTTTCTGTACAAATGTCCAACCCGTGACGGTGGAATCGCCCATATGAAGTTTTTTCTTTGAACAGTAAGTGTTGCTGTAGAGAAAATATACATAAAATAAAATTTCTTTAAAATTTTTTGAATGACAAGAATACCGGTTCTCGAAAAAGAGAATGATCGGAAATTATGAACATAAAGTATTGTTTTTTTTATTGAATAACGCCATATATCTACTATACATCACATAGTTAGTGCATCTGTATGTATTCACGAATACTGCAATCAGCTGCGCGATGTACCACATCTAAGGGAAGATGAACCTCTTTATCTCACCGCGTATGCAAATCAACAGCGCATAAGCTGCATCACAATTGTTCTTGATACCATTGACTGCGTCTTTGCAGGTTTGCAAACCGGCGCGGTAATCATCCTTGTAATCGTCTGGCATCAGCAGGTCAATCTGTTTCAATGAGCTTTCGAGGAGAAATTTGCCTTTCTTCATCTATGCAAGCGTGAGAAAGTTTTAAAATTATTCTAAAACGGCATAAAATAGATTTTGTATTTTATATACATATGTACATTAGACTGCATCACTCCCCATAAAAAAAAGAAATCGGTACTGTTTTTCCATTGGAATTATAAAATCTATTATATTTTAAGACATCCACCAAAATATTTCGGAAAAATATTTAAGATTTATTAAGATTAAGAGATACCTCCAAAAATGGAGTTTTTTTTATGAATAAAAATAGTTTCTTATAGACGTTTTTTGAAAAAATCCCCTCAAATGACAAAACGGTTTAAGCTTAAAAAATTTACATAAAAATATTAAAAAAAAAATTTTACAGAATCGTAATTATAAGATTTTCGATGTTTTTTTTTAACATTTTTCAAAGATTGGTATAAGAAAAACTTTAATAACTGAACCTAAACTCTTCCGATTTAGACTTAAGAGGTGTAATTGGAAAGGTATTTTTTCACCCTTTTTATTTCTTTGCTAATAAACTCATTCAAAAGATGAAAGAGAAAGCTAGGATGAACGAACGTCATGAATTAAGATGTGTTGGTATTTGAAAAAATAAAAATAAATGGGGACACGAATGACTTTTTTTTTTGGAGAGAAATAACAACAATGTGAAAATACCTTTCTACTGAGATCCCATAAGTCTAAATCGGAATAGTTTTGGCCCAGTTATTCAAGTGTTTCGTAAATCAATATTTGAAAAAAGTAAAAAAAAACAGCATCAAAAATCTCATTCCTACGATTCCGTTGGAAAGATTTTTAAATATTTTTATGCAGATTTTTTAATCATTATCTGTTTTGTCATCTGAGGGGACTTTTTTCAAAAAGTTCGTTAAGAAACTATTTTTATTCATAAAAAACTCCATTTTTGGAGGTATTTTCAAATCGGTCATGCTCGCTTAAATCTTAGGACTTTTCTGAAATATTTTGGTGGAGATCTCAAAATATTATAAATTTTGTAATCCCGGCGGAAAAACTGCCACTTTTTTTGGTGATGCAGTCTAATGTACATACATATGTAGTGCATATATATGTATGTATATATTTTTAATACCGTTTGCATCATTTCCAAAACGCAGTTAATATAACATTTTACGTCTTTGGTGTCGGGAATATTACCCAGCTTGATGCCATCAGCTACTTCTGGAAAGGAAAACATAAAAGTGTATAAATCTCTGAATTATCCGAAGTGTAATTTTTAAGCAAATAGTAAAATTTCGAAAATACAATTTTTTTCTACTGACACCCGATTGACCGAAGGATACCTATCGTTATGAATTTTTTACACAGCATTAAAGGTATGCTTTCCATTTATGCGTACATTAAAGGCGCCTTAAAGTTTTCTGAAGAGCAACAGTAGAAAGGTAGCAGTTCTAAATGCAGGGCTCACAATCTTGCATGAAGGTCTTCTTCTCACCTTTGCCAAAGCGAGAAAGCTATCTGATTTTATTTTTCAAAAAAACACCTGTCTGCAGGAGCTATTTTTCCACTGATATGTAGCTATTTATTGTGTTAATGCTGGTTCACTTACACAAATTACACAGGCCAACAAAAATGGAAAAGAAATTTTGGTGCGGCAAATGCTAAAGTTATATATTTTTGATAAAATATTGCAAAACCGCGATGTTTTGACATTTGACCTCGTTTTTCTCTAAATCTGGAGCTGATGGAAAATTTATATCTTATGTTCTGGTATCTTCTCTCCAAAAAATAGTGAACACAATTTGAGCACTTCAACAAAATCATGTCGGGTGTTATCAACGGCTCCGTGAATCATGGCCGCGTGTATTAAGACCGCGATCAAAAATTAAATTAGGCCGAGCGGAAATAATTCCTTTTGCCGAGTGAAATTTGGCCGCGATTAAAAAATGAAATTAGACCGCACTTAGACAAGAACTATATTATTTTGGATTATTTAATTCAAACATAATAATAATAATAGATTGGCGCTTACACATATGTTAGTGTTTGGCCGAGCTTCTCCTCCGATTTGAGGCGTGCGCCTTGATGTTGTCACACAGAGCGGCGATTGTATTTTTACGAGTAGCTGTTTTTCATGGCAGAAATACACTCGGAGGTTTGCCATTGCCTGCCGAGGGACGACCGCTGTTAAGAAAATACCTTTTTTTCTATACTTTTTGCGATGTTGCTTTGACCTGGGCTTGAACCCAGGCGTTGCGGAGTGGAAGCGCGCACAGCTTACCACTACACCACAGCGGCCGACAAAATATACAAATTTCCATTTTTCACTGGGTACAAATTTACTGACTATTCAAATAAAAATTGGAACTTATTATCTAACAAATACTATATAAATCTGAATTTTAAACTTTGTGCAAAAATTAAAAAAAAATCAGCAAAGTTTCATTAGAATTGAAAACCTTTTAGCTAAAATTTCTAGGAATTATATGCTTACCAACATACGCAAGTAAAGCTCTATATATTGTTTAATTTACCCCTTCTTTCACATAAAATGAATCTGTGCGATATTTCTACAATTTAACATGCTTGTTCATGATTCAATAATAGAAAGGTTTTGTAATAAAACAGTCTTCTCGCTTCCAAAGATAAAATCGGCTCCTTTACTTGTGCAGAATGTTGCTTACTCTACAGTTTCTAGTGATATTAGTAGTAAAACCAAAAATTCTTCATACTAAATATTCGTGAGCATCACCTTCGTTTGCGTAATTTTCTAGAACAAGTGTAGAATAGCGACCGTTTACCTATAAAATAACCAAAAATGACGATTGATAGAAATTTTTACGCTGATTTCAACGATATCAAATTTATTTGGCACAGGTAAAAAATAAAGAAGATATAAGAGGTTTATTTGCTTTATTTATTTGTATTTTTTATTATCACTAAATTGTTGAAACCCAAAAGTAGATCATGACAAAATATGTACTATCGAATTAAAGGCAATAACTTGTACTTTCTAAATAATATAAATTTCTTTACCAATAATTATGCAGTTTTTTCAAAAAAAGGTTATTTCATGAAAAAATAACATTTGTTCGTTTTTTAGTGGTTTTGGTTAAAANAAAAAAAAGGGTTATTTCATGAAAAAATAACATTTGTTCGTTTTTTAGTGGTTTTGGTTTAAAAATACAAAAAGCTATAAATTATGTACATCAGCTGAAAGACAAATTAATTATTTTCATAGTGACTTCATTACTTTTTTAATCGGTTATATAGTTTATAAGATAGTAATATTTAAAAAATCTAAAAACTGAAATTTAACCTTCTAGAACGTCTTTATTTTTCACTTGTGCCAAATAATTTTGGCATTGTTGAAATGAGCATAGAAAGTTCTATTGATTTTTCGTTTTGCATAGCTGGCCGGTCGGTATCTAGATTTCTTCCAGGAAATGACGAATAACTGAAATCAAAAATGCATATTTTTATGTATTGTTTAGTATTTCCATTAAAACACCAAATATATTGCAAATTCGCATAGAATTAATAATACACTTTTTACTTCTAAGTGTATACTTTGCGTACTTTTTGTAGCACCTTTCTACTACCGGTTTCGCAAAAGGCGATCACATTCTTCCCCTTTCTCCTACTTCCAAAATACAAATCTAGATAAAGGAGTGTCAAATTTCAGCTGTCACAAATTACATAACCTTGTGATATTGAATCATGATGCTTGTTATTGTTTATTAGTCAGTTACACCAGTGTTACATCAGTCTACAATTTAATTTGTTATGAAATTCAAGAAACGAAATGAAAACTCAATATTCTCTGTGATTTTCTTTTGCGGTACCGTCATTGCGTTTTGTTTTAAATTGAATTGTAATTTTTTACAAACGATTACTCTGTTTTCCTTTTATTTATTTTTTTATATAGTATCTTCATCAACTTTTATTGAGCTTGATACCGTTTTTAATGAAAACTATTGTGGGAAAGCGACAACAATCTGAAATTTTTTATATATTTGTATTGTAATGTTTGCTGACTGCACTTGTAGATACTCCCAATATAGCAGTATTACATATATGGATATAGTTGTGGCATAATTTTTTTAATTTGTCAAACAATGCAATTTGGGGTCCTGAAGAATCAAATTTTTATAAAAGTCTTCACGATCAATTTATCAAATGAAATAAGTAAAAATACGAGTACTCCCGAGAGTATACACACAGATAGACAATTACTATGAGAGCCTTTACTTTGAGGTTTCGACATTATTAGTAGAATAACCAAATGTCCATTTAAATCCTACATAACTATTATCCATTGTTGTCATTACAAGGCGTAATCAAAAATTGTAGAATTAATAATTATTTAAGACAACAAAAATTTTTTCCTAATACGAATTTCCACTAATGGGGGAAATTTTGCCATATAATGCCTAGTCGAAATTCAGCATAAGTCAAACTAAAGATATAAAAAAAAAACGAAACAAAACAAAAACCATTCGAAGAAACTTATTTTATTTTTAGAGGATATATAGCTTATAGAATTCATTTCAGCCGCATTATATGTATATTATTGGACTTCATTAAAATTTTGACTTCGATTGCACAAAACTGCAATAAGCGATAGGTACAGGTCGAAAGTTTGCACCAAACATAATTCAACCAAATTCTGAGATAAGCGTTCGTGAAAAGTTTTCTGAGATGGGGCGTTTTCGAACTGGCTGCCTTGATAGGTCGATCTTCCACTCACTGGTGACCTCTACGGGAAATTGGACCAAGAAGTTTACCTTCAGTCGCGCGAGGGATCCATATAGCCCACAAAATGTGGGCGCCTAGACCTCAACTAAACTCAACTCACCTCAGCTCGCCTCAAATCACTTCATCTCATCTTCACTCATCTCAACTCCCCTCATATTAGCGAAGCAAAACACAAATTAATTTTATCAGCGAATCAAGTCAAAACCGTAATTGATTGCTTGATTTATGATTAGATCAATTTAAAATCCCTCAACCCAATATTATTTTATGTTTTATTAAGTACAGTAGTTCAAAACATACAACTACATAGAGAAATCGTAGTGCAGCCCCGGCCATCGTACAGCTCTAAAGTAGCGTGTCTCTTCATTGTACCGTTATTTCTGGCAGGCTGTAGGTGCGTTTTTGGTTAGTGTATTTGAAATAGAATGTAATAGAAATGGAAGAAATTGTAATATAAATGGAAGAAATTAGAAAAGATGACAGCAAACGCCAAAAAACAGGTAACCTCAGCTGTAGGCATTTTTTGACAATCAGCTGATAGTGTTTTCACTTAGACAGCTGTACGATGGCCCAGACGCACTCATTCTTTTATGTTTATTTTTGGAATTCAATAATTCAAACATACCTGTGGAAACTTTCGGAAATTTTGGCAAACAGACATCTCGCATCAATTTTCCAGCGGCAAACATTTGCTCTTCAGTGGCCTTTAAAATAAAAGCAATGTAAAGAAGTATTTTTAATGATAACAGAAAAGATAGTAGATATTTAACAACACGTTTTCCTAAGGTTTTCGATTAAATTAGCACCTACATACACTCACATGTACATATAAAGTGCAATGGCGATATATCGAGCCGATTTGGAGTTGAACTTTTGATTAAGAAATTGTATGGATCGTGCAACAATAGTATTTATGCATATAGCATGTGTTTAATTGATAAAGATTACAAGGATATTTTTTACACCCTTGAAATTTTTTCCGATTTCTCTCTGGCTCGTTATGGGATATATCGATCTTCAACAACATTCAGACGAGCTCCTGGGAAGACATAGGCTACTTTATCGACCGCGGCCTTTTAGAGCTCCACGTATATGAGAAAATCTCACTTTTTCGACAAAAACATGTTTTGTTTAATTGCGGTAGGTACTAAAACTTCGCCAAAATCAATTTTTGCTATTCAACAAATTACCATAACCATAAAGTCAAGGTGCACGAATAGTATTTCCAGGGATAGTTGTCGCGAGTTCCAGCTTTAATTTAAGCCCAAGTGGAAGGTTCTATCACCTTTTGTTTTTTGCTAAAGCTTCTCAAATATTGCAAAAACCGCGATTTTTTTGATACTTTGACCACGTTTTTCCCAAAATCTAAAGCGGATGGATACTTACAGATTCGTAATCAGCACAAAAAAAATCTATCAAAAACAGCTTTTAACATTTTTGGAAA